TTGCTCAATGGTTAGAGCATCGGCCCATGGACTGAAGGGTCCCAGGTTTGATTCTGGCCAAGGGCATATACCTTGGTTGCAGGCTCAATCCCCGGCCCCGGTCATGGCAGGTTCGGGAGGCAACCAATCGATGTGTCTCTCTCACATCGATGTGTCTCCCTCCCTCCCCCCCTTCCACTCTCTCTGAACAGCAATGTTTATACCTTTTCACCAAGGGATGAATTTATTCTAAGAGAAAAATGAGAGTTAATTACAGATTTATGGGCAAAGATAGCATTATAAAGTTAATTAAGTAGTGAAAAAAACCTAAATGCTCAACAGTAAGAGATTGGTAGGATAAATTACAGTATATTCATATACTAGAATAATGTGCAGTCATTAAAAATTCATTTTTCCAGCATCAAAGAGCATGCATGGTGACCATGATGTAGCCGCTGTGTTTTTCTGACTGCAGTGGCCTGTGGAGTAGAGCAGCCTGCAGCAGGTGTCAGGGGGCGGGAGGGTGTTTGGCAGTCACCATGGCTGTGTGCTGCTCTTCCAGGGGGTGAAGCTATAGGTGATTTTTATGTTTGGATGTTGTTTTCCTGTGTGCTTTTCCAAACAGCTGTAAATTTCCATATATCTTTCAGAGTTTATTCTGTTGTTGTGGTTAATTTTGAAAGAATATAGGACCTCATGAAGTCAAATACGTTTGTTTACACTATGTTTTTGGCTTATGCGTAAGTGAATTCTCTGAATCAGCTTTTCTTTGTGTTTTTCATTTAAGCTTTAAAATATCCCACAACCAATACCAGCACTTATCCAAAAGATCTCAACAGCACAGGAAAATACCCAGTAAATTATGAAAGCTTGCTCCATGTTAGCCTTGTTCCCAGTTCCAGCTTCCAAGGTAATCAGTGATTAGTTCAGAGATTTTGAATGTATGTCAGGAGTTTACCTTACTTGATATAAATAGTTTATTAAGCAAGCCATCACATCTCACATGTTTGGGATGTCTGGATTTTCACGGGTACAGGTCCTTGAAAATGAGGTCCCCTGTGTTGGTTCTCTGCCCCTTTTCACCGGTTCTTGAATGGAGGGGGAGACGTGCAAGTGTATTTACAGAGCCACCTCTCCAACAAAGATACACACGTAAGTCACTGAGATAGAAGTGACAAGTGTGATTTTGGTGTTAGGATTGTATGGGTTAAACACATCCATTGCTAGAGTTCAGAATCTAACAAACTTAGGTGAATGAGCTGCTCTTAGTGGCATCTGGACCTAGGAGATAAAGAAAGATTTAGCCTCGTTTATTTGTTTTTTTACCCAGCAAATATTTGAGGACCTCCCACTTGGGGAATAAGTTTATTAACTAAGCTTTTATCTCAAAATATTTGGTCTTAGGGAATACTATCAACTATTCTTTGAGCTTCCCAGCTGTTTCCAAATTTGGTTAGATCTGCTCAGAGTGGTGCAGGAGTTCTGAATTGTTCC